TATTCAACAATTTTTTTCCTTCTAATATTTATTTAGATAATTCAGAATTCGGACTGACGGTGTACTTAAAAAATAGAATAATCTTTACGAACATACAACAGTTTATATTAGCCTAGGAACAGTCCTTCTAGCTACCATTTAAGGCATTTTCGGGTAGTGAGAATCAGTTTCTATCAAGTGATTTCTGCACGCATGGTATATGAAAGACACCCATTTGCATTTTAGAATATATACATAGACATAAGGCTTACTGTATTATGGACTGCCGCCAAGACGCCAGTCTGATTTTTAATAGTATTATAAGTGTCTCTAATGTTGTAATCTAACTTTCTTCTCCATTTTTTACAATATTTTTCCCTGCTATGGGCTAGTCCAGGTGGGAGTAAATGAATAAACAGACCAGTCTAGACGGGTAAAAGGACCTACGGACTAGTCAAAATAGATGTGGGAGACGTATTAGACTAGACTTGATGGGTATAGCAGACTTTTTGGACTAGTCATGCCGCCCGTCCTCCCTATTTTTTTGCTCACTTGGGTAAACACTACAGCGACAGACAACTTGTTGGTTACTTGGTTTTTTCTCATTACAAAATTGCATACTAACAAATCGGCCTGTATATATGTTGGGGTTATATTTTTTTTCTTCCGCAATTTATTTATGAATGAGTATCTCACTAGCTAATTTATAGAATGAGAATGAGAAAAAATCAGATAGATAAGGTATTGAAAAGAGAAAATATCAAGAATCTGTCACTCTAATGTATTTTTTTCTTCAGTGTGATTTACCTTGTGTCTGAATCATTCGCGTTTGCAGCAAGTTGGTAAATGCACATATATTATAATTGATAGATTGAATTTTAATGGCAAGATTGCTTAGAAGACCATGAAGGTATCATTTTTTCTCATCAAAAATGTTGTTGCAATGTGATGTGTACAGTTGAATAATAACGAAGGAAGTATAAAAAAACGTTACCTATGAGAGAAAATGTTTTTTGTTTTTGTTTTTGTTTTGATTTCAATAAATACTCATATGGTAAGGCAAACGTCGGTCATATATGGAGAAGTTTCGTAAGTATCATCCATTTTATTATTCTTACTTTATATTTAAATAATTACTTCAGTAAAATTATGTGACTCTAATTATAGAGACCAAAAACGTAGATGTATTTCGACTTGATTTTCAACACATGAAGAGGGGAAAGCGGTATTTTCACATCAGTCGATAGTATACTGTATGTACAAATTTTTCTAATGATGTACTTAACCGTATCAGTAACCACAGAAATGCAGTTGGGGAACAATTGCTGCCATGAACGTCTCGTATAGTGACCATATGCTACGCCCATTTAAAAATCCATTTTCGAGTCATCCATGAACGTTCATATTTAGACTGTTTAACTTACTTTTCAATTACATTTTTGACACGATATCAGTGTTTGATATTATCAATATTCATTATAAGGTTTATATCGAAAATTTGCCTTACTGAACAGTTAGACATTATAGACATGATTATGGAATGTCATTGAGAAATATTATCTCATAGTTTCATATTTGAATATCGAACAAAAATAAGACCATACATCATCTTCAAACTTACAGTGTAAAAGAGATCTTAGTCAAGATTCTCCTAACACAAATACTAGATTCGTTTATTTTTTATTATCTCACTGAAAAGTCATTACCGAAAGGAATGATTTCTAATTATCAAGCTATTACATAGCGTACAGTAAGATAAAATAATTTTTTCCAAAAAATTACAACTGGAAGAGAAGAATATCTCTAAATCATGTCAGATAATAGAATACATCATTGTTTTCACGAAATCAATCCTGTAACTGATGGAAAAAACTCACGAAAGTTCAACACCCACATCCGTTAAATGGACTGACTTTTATTCTGTTTATATTTCACCCAGAGTTTCGGTGATGAGCCCTTATGATATTACATATTCTAAAGTTAATACACTCTAGAACGAGAGAGCTTCCAATAGAAGTTTTTCAATGTTATAGGAGCAAGATAAAAATTATTTTGACACTGGATGAACTGAAATAAAATCTATGAGTTTGAGTATAAAAGCAGAATGCTCTTTTTCGTAAAATCTGAAGCCATGTACAATATGTAGAATAATTATTTGGATAACTTGTGACCTCAATCTTGTAAAATAAATTTCGAAATGCGAAGAAAACATTCTCAACTTTATTATACCGTTCGATAAGTCAAATCTCTCGATTCCTCGAGAAAAAAGGATTCTTTTAAAAAAACATCAACTTCTAAAGGTTTTTGAAAAACCCACTTGATTTTCTGCGAAAAATGATTCCGATACCTTTAGTTTGCGCATTATGGCACATTTATCGTCTATGAAAATATACCTAGAGGCTATTAATTTTTTCAGAAAAACTTCTAGTTTAAAAATTTATAAAAATTACAAGACAACTCAAAATACATCACTTGATAGAAGAGTAATGCTCAACCGGATTATACCCATTGATTTCGAAAATAATCATTTACAAGAGATATCAGGTGCTAATTATGATTAGTGTTTTGTATCGGAGTTTCATGGTTTTCGAGTTTTAGCTAGAAAAATCAAAGTAAAATTTTATTTGAAGGGCAAAAGTCTGTAGAGAATACAATCCTCTGAAAATAACGTACTTTTAAGTACAAAACAATTGTTTTTTCTGAGACAAACTAAACCTTCAAAAACATACTTTTTATTATTTTCAGATGGTGACACTACTACCCAATAAACTTCTTAAGGCTATTCGTAAATAGCGAAAATATAAATAATTTCTCTCCATTCTGCACCAAAAATTGTTCAGTTCAATGTAATTATGGTGTCATCTAACACAGGGAAAACAATTTTTGTACTTAACAAGATTTACTCTTTGATGTGCAATCGAATACAAACGTAAATTTCGCTAAACCCATCACTCCTACAACAGACAAAAGTCAAAGCCTAAAACTATCCGATATTGAGGAAATAGCTAAACTCAGTCTCCATTCGAACTGCAGTTTGTATTATTTATATTTTAAACAATAATTTAAGCATGATACTGAACTAAAAAAAAGAAAAGCTTTGAAGATGGATCATATTCCAAGAGCGATTCATAGAGGTACACTAGGAAAATTCTCACTAGAGGGTGTGGGTGTCGATGTATCTCTTCTCCTCAGAGACACCCAAACTCACACACACACACACCCTCAAGCTTTGGCCAAATTGTCATGCACTCCACCATCAACCGTTTGGCGAGGAGTGACTAAAGATCTGAGCGCACAATTTCCGCCCGCTACCCCAGTAACATGGTGGTCATTTACATCGTGCACGACTACGTTAACAGTGCTTGAGAACAATATGTACTTGGGTGATACCGGTAACCGAACATTGTTCTCTGTAGAAGCTATTAATGGCCGATCAATACGTGCGCATTCCCATTTCAACAGTGAAGATGAAGTCCTGTTATTGCCGGGTACTCAGATGGTAGTTCAATCACGATTGAAGCCGGCACCCGATCTTCATATTATACAATTGAAACAGGTTATCCCGGAAGAAGTACTATTCGAACCGCCATTCGAAGGTATTCTAAATAATAGCAAACACTAATTTTTGATTACTATTGTTCCTCTACTTAGGTGCACTACTCTATCCTAAAACTGGGTAAGTTTTATATAGTCTTTCTGTGAGTATGTTTGTGATAAAAATTTTCATTACAACTACAAGACGTGCATGGTATCGCAAGAAGAGGTTCATGATTTCAATCTTCTTATCGATCGCTGTAATCATTGGTGCAATGATTCTTGGAGCCGTCTTGGGAATACAATCGAGCAGTAAATGTACGATTGTTTTAAAATTTACTTCTCAGGTCAGAGGCAAATAACAGTTGATTTAGACGCCGTGACCAATGCGTAACATATAAATTCACAAACGTTGAGATTTTTCTATTCGAACGAATATGCATCTTTGCTTTTTTTTCCTCGTTTGCTGGCTTATTTTTGACAGTCGAATACAGATCTCAATAGAAAAGACACGCATCTACGTCCACCAACAACACTCCAAGTTTTTTGAGAATATACGATAAGTGTTACTGGTTTACAATTGTTTGACCGACTGGTGTAAAAATTTTCATTGATAAAACAGTTTTTATACTAATTGATAGATAGCTAATGTCGACCACGATCGCATTAATAATAATAAACAAGCCTAACATCTCTCGACATTTCGAAAAAAATTGTTGGTCACATTTGAAATACTTCCCGTGTCGAAATTGATACTCACTAATAGCGTAAAACATGCATGAAATACTTTGAAATCCTATCCAAAATGATAACGCGAAGTTAGGTGTTTTTGAATTATTGAAACCTAGTCAATGAAAAAATGAAAACTATCATGTTTGATTATTATAGTAAGTACTTACACCAGCATTTATCATAAAGTATCGAGAAGGATTTTCAACGAAATTTTACGTATTCAAGACGATTGAAATCATAATGATTCAAGCAGCTTTGTGTTAATCATTTTGTCGGAAAATTTCAGTTATGTAAACGGTGTCAAGTGTATATGTTCATGAGACTATAAAATCTGTCATTGTCTATGTATTGTGAATATGTAAGCTGAAGATGATCGATTAAAAGATCGAAAATTCCAAAAGACTAATTAAATCAAAACAAAACACAAAGCTACTTGAATCATTATGATTTCAGTCGTCTTTAATCGAGAGGGATTTAAACGGTGTGTGATTTGTTCGATGGAGATTGGTACCGTAGTATAATCGTTGGATTGAATCATACTGTTTTTCTCTTCGTTTTTCAACTTATATCAAAATACGATTTCGAGTGAAATATGATGATTTTGCACTGAAAACAAAGCTAATAAGAACAGGTATTATCTTATCTGTTTCTATAATTTGAATGCTTACGTAAGCATGTAAATGAAGGTAAGACCAATATACGTACTGTAACACTTACAAATTCAAAATCAAGAACTCATCTATATTATCTTTTCACGGACTGCGATTTGACTCATAATTATTTTAGAAGAGCCGATCTTTCGAAATGTTGCTCTACTCCGTTAGCATTCAAAACCTTTAAAGTTTTTGAGAAATATCTGATAAAGTATGACTTTAAATGAGTATTTATGCACACAGGTGTTCAAGATCAATGATAGAGCCGCGTGTTTTTCTGAGTAGAACGTGACATAGTGAAATCGAAAACTTTTATGATTTACTTCTGTTAAATGAGATAGAAGAAATTATCGGAAACTTTGTTGCGCTAGCTGAGAATAGAGTGCAGCTCATTGTATTTTAATAATCAACAAACAAAAAGAGCACAGAAAAAAACTAGCAAGGCCATAAACAAATATATAACATAACAGAAAAATATGGGATATTTTCTAAATATTACTGAACACAATTAATAGACAAACATACAGATAAACAATATAACCTAATGGTAAGAGAGGAGATGTTTTTTTTTTTGGTGTTATAAATTTGACAATTTATTTGAATTTTTCGTTCATTGATAACAAAATCACCGGCCTCTTTTAAATATTGAAATGCGAGTATTTGTGCGATAGATTAGTTCGAATTCAGGATGGTGAGATTGCTGTTTGTCGAGCGGAATCAAAGTAGAATCACTGTTTGGATAGCATACATTGACACAGACACATAAGCGTATAAAAAGAAAAGATTCAATTGCACAAATACTAAGAAAAATAAGAAAGAAATAAAGAAAAAACACAATAATAATATACAATTAACGTCGAATTTTCGAGTTCTATGTTATCAAAATTTGAACAACAAATTTAATCACGATTGATGAACCACTATTTAGATAAAGTTTTTGGGTAAATGGAAGCGAAGGCTGAGTTATAAATTTATCCAATGGACATGGAAGGATATCAACAAGATGTACGGATGTATAGCCCAGACTTTCTAAATAGAAAAGAATATTCCGGTCTTTCTTTTTCTTTTTCAAAAAATAGAATTCTATTGGGAAACAAACCGTTGGGTGAGAAATATTCATTATCAAATATATTTATATGAATAACATCTTCATTAAGATTATATAAAAGAAATTGCATAGGTGCATTCCACTTTGGATTAACTGTTCGCTTTAGAAATGGTGTTTTCAATGTTAATGAACCAACAGTGATTTCACAATACGGATCAAGAGAACCTTTTGTTTTTGCAAAAGAAATATAAAATATTTTGTATGAGTTTTTAGACAAAAATAAAGTACTAACGATGTCGTTCACGGGTTGTAGTTGATGGGACTAAATCATAAGCTTCTTGTACGACGAGAAGAAGACGTGCCACTGCTGCTCTTGAATCACGTTTACTATCTTGAAAAAAAAAATAATCAGTTCTATTTCAAACTGTACGAAACTACTCTAATTATTATGTAGAGAAACGGCTGTAGTTATTAAGGAATTCTATTATTTAGAAATCGTTTTTTCTTGCCGAAGGAAGTATACACTCGATAGGAGTATTCTAAGCTCGACTGATTCAAACTATCGACAGTCATCGTTCGAGAAACTCAAATCTACACGAATACATTGTTTCGGTGTTAAAATCTGAATGTCCTCTTTACCTGCAACTGTGAACATGGCTTTATCAGTTAGAATTGATTTTTCTGCCGCTTGGCATTCTTCAACAGCATTATTAATTGATTTTACCCATAGAGTGCTAAAACGAACGACTTGCCAATGTAAAAATTCCTATTTAAAATGAAAATTGACTTACCGAACATTGGTTTGTTGTGATTTTAATACAAATGGTTTCTCATGAATTTTCGTTGTAATAGAAAATGACAGTTGATCATTGAGTGATTCATTGGCAATGATAATGTCTGTTAAAAATAATGGCTATAAAAGAGAAGAGAGAAAAAATATTAAGTCAAAATGCAAATTGAAATAGAATTTATCAAACCAATCGATAGAGTTTTAATTGTAATGCTGATTTTAGTTCAAATATTTGTGTTTGCCAATTCGTCGATGATGATTTTATTGTTGAAAATAGAAGAAAATCATTAAACAAGAATCCTAATAATTCTTTTCCACTTGGTACCTAAAGAATCGAGATAACAAATGATTTTTAGAAGTCTCTTTAATTCTATTGAAACACTCCAAACGACTCTCTCTAGATGTTCGAAAGACTATTCTTGATTTCTCTTACCTTCATTAATAAGCCATGTAAAATTAATTTTCGTTGTACATTATATCTATTGAACGAGTTGAATTTGATTAATTCATCTAATATATATCGATCCGAAGGATTTTCATCGCTACCAAATGATAAATGTTGGTGTAACCAATCTAAACGTAAACTATTTTCTTGATCACTTATTTGTTTATTGATTCGTTCATTTAATTGGCGTGCACATTCGAGTGCTTGCTTTAATGATTGATAATCTGGATGATTTGCTAAAGTGTGTTTCAGCACTTTTTCAATTAATAATGGATAACGTGTAACACGTTGAATGGGTTTTGTTAAAAATCCATTCAATGATAAACCACCGGTTTTTTCTTGGAAAATTTTTAAATACGCACGGCATTGTTCATTGGAATCGATTTTTGCTTGCAGAGATTTATTTGCTTGTGCACGGTTATTACAATATTGAAAATAATCATTGGCCATATTTGGTAAATGTAAACAAAGAATTTCGCCTATTCTAGTTGATTCTGTTATTGTCATTGATCCTGCTGATAGGAGAGGAGCTGGGGGACCATCTTCATCATCGTTTACGTGTTCAATAGTAGGTTTAAATGCTATACGATTTATCGACGGTGAACGATGATGAGTTCCACTACGATGTTTCAATCGGCGAAGCGATGCCGATTGAGATACATCAGGAGTAAATGAACGATGACGAATATCGGTAACACTTTTCGATGGAGCCTAAACAAATCGATAAGGAATGATAAATACAACCTATTGAAACTTAATTTCGGTTAGAACTGTATCGGAACTATCATCGTGTCTCTCATTTAAATTTTTCCGGGAGATGAATATCAGTGAAATCACAATTAATTTGTACTAACCTGAGCAGCTAATGCAATATTTGACAAAGATGCTGATCGAGGTGCACGCATAACTACGTCGCTTCCTGTTAGGGGAAGTGCTTCTTTATAATCTACTTGTGCGTGCAATGCATTTAAAAGATTACTATTGAGTGCAATTAAATCAAACCAATTAATAAATAGTTGGCCGATTTCTTGTTCATTCAAAGCTCGAGCATTATTCAAGGGTCTAATAAATTGATTAGTCACAATTGATAGATCATCAACATAACGTTGTTCAGTTTCGATTAATTCTCGAATAGCAGATAGTCTTAATGAATGCATTGGCACATTTTGTGATGATGACAATGATGTATCGCCGTCATTTGATACTGTTTTCATGGTTGAATCGTTAAAATAGAGATGTTGCGATGAATCAGCTGCAGTAGGTATGGCCGGAACAAGACGATATGGCGTAGGTGGTGCAGCTGGAAAATAAATTTTTGAAATATTAATATTATTATTTTTTTTTCAAGAGAAAGGGAAACTTTCAAGAAGATAATGAGCCATGCTAATCAACATGCACTAAGATTTCGTCAGGTTTTGACAGGATAAAAAAGAACTACGAATAGTAAACACACACAGGCGCAAATTTATTAGTCATTGAATAGAATTGTTTTACTTCATGCAGCCATATCGATGGACATTATAAAGGGCGTTTAGTTGTTTGTCGGCTAGCTTTTTCTTTTTGTTTTCAAATTCTAAACTTACGGTGAGATATAATAAAAGACAATTTTTGCCTAATATATGCATGGCATTTATGTTTGGCGCGTGCTCTAGCTGTCGTTAGTATTAAGAAGCAAGAGTCACACGGTCGAGAACATTTTGTTTCAAGCATTCTCTTATTTTCTGTTTACAGTGTGTAGCATTCTTTCTTTTCAGTTTTCAACCAAGTACACATCATTTCATATGTATATATATATATATAATTATATTTCATGTATGAGATAGCGATACACAAAAAGTAGAGAGATACGGCTATACAAAGGAATAAAAAATAGTCAAATCACTTGTATGTGTAATTATAGAAAAATAACGACCGATGATTAGAGATTGAAAGAAACAAGTGTGATTCAACAATGTCACCAGGATTCACAAGTTAAAGATAGAACCAAACGAAAAGAAAGAACGTAGGAAAACTAAGCGCAAACACATACATGTTTATTGCATAGAACAAATGTTAGAAAAATTTTCATATTTTATCGCAGAGAAGAATCGAGCACGTAGATATATACATACATAGATTGATAAGAATGAAAGAAGTAGAGGAACAACAGCTGTCAATCAAATAAAACACACGTAGAAATCAAAAAAAAAGGAAGGAACAAGAAAAAATTTTAATAGAAGAGAGCGAATGTATGTGGATTTTTTTTCTTCAATACTCGCGCATGTACTCAATCAAACATGATGGCAGATTATATCAAAACTAGGGCGATGGGGATTTCAAAATAAATAGCAATCGTCCGTGCACGCTTATATATGCAATTGGACACCATCATCAACTTCCTGATTTGGACAAGCGCGAGATCATATTTTGCAATGATGATTATCATTGTCCTAGAATACGGACAAAAATGAATTAGCCAAAATGAAAAACAATATATTGAAAAACAAAATGAACACAAAGCTTTGTTTTACTGTATTTTTTTCATATCTCATTCTGTTAGTCTATCTAAGGCAAGCTAAAAAATCCACATACATCGCCTTGCGCGCACACTTAATCTGCATATTTTGTTAGTAAACTACGAAAATCCTGTGTTTTATAAACGATTAATGTGGGGGGGGGGGGGGGGGGGGGGGGGGGGGGGGGGGGGGGGGGGGGGGGGGGGNTCCACATACATCGCCTTGCGCGCACACTTAATCTGCATATTTTGTTAGTAAACTACGAAAATCCTGTGTTTTATAAACGATTAATGTGACCCCCCCCCCCCAAGCTGACTACTATTATTTGTGCTAAACTTACATGTATTATGTTCGTCGATTGATTTGACATACGTCGATGGAATCAAACCAACTTGATTACCATATCGAGCTTTAAACCAACCACTATTACCTGTTTGATCTAATATTTCTAAAACGGCATCGACTGGAAAACTTAATTCATCTTCTTGTTGAGCATCGTATGCAAAAAGAGCAACACATCGAGGATATTCTAAATTGATAAAAAAAAACGTACATGGCTTTAAAAAATTTATAAGAAAATATAGTTTATACACTTCGATGATTATTTATAATCTCACGTTATAAAAAGAACGATTATAAAATTTCATAAATGTTTTCACGCCCGAGCGAATAAAAAGATAATCGTGCAATAGTGAAATAAGTTCGGAAACAAGAGGCTTAAGACGATTTGGAATATTTCATCGCATACCTGAAGCATTTTGATACATAGAAACCGGCGGCGTAAATGTAGAAGCTGTTTGCATTTGTACGCAATTCGCTGGAAACCAACCAAAACGCATTGGTTGATCAGAAGACTAAATATATATTTAAGAAAAACAGCTTCTTATAAGCAAGCATAAAGAAAATTGACTTGGCCATACTCGAATTTCTCCTTGATACCATCCTTTATCACCCTTTTTTGTTACATAAATAAGTTGACCTTGGTCAAACGATAAACGTCCTTCTTCGTTAGTGTGAAACGGCGCGATTGCAACAGCGACTTCTTGTTGTGACTTGAAAACAAAATGATTAAATAGAATAATTTTTTTATGTTAAACATACTGCTCCAACTTTTTGAACGTAATTATTCGGAAAAGTTCCTGTGCGATCACCGATTTTTCCAGTCCACCAATCACCATCACGCTGTAATACAACGATACGATCACCAGCATTAAATGATAGATCTGCAACATCTTTTGCTTCATAGGGATAAATAGCTTCATAGATATCAGCTAAAAAACATGATTTAATGTTACTTTTTATCTTTGAACAGACAAGAAATTGATACTCGATGACGCAGCAATACATGCAAATAATAACCAATCGTCACCAAACTTTTGTTTTCAATGACAAAGACAAGAAGCAAAAAATATAAGGAACTACTTAAATTATTTAGAACTATAAGAATATTTTGTTCTCTTTCGGTTCAAAACAACGAGCAGATAAAAAGTAGCAGATATCTTTTACTTTAATTACTTAAGAAAAAATAATAAGAAACAATATAGACATGTATTCATTTTCCCGCCACCAATAATAAAGAGACATAGGCATCTAAATTATACCAAGGGGCTGGTCGATTGTAAACTTACGTATTGATGGAAGAGTTGGTGCCTGACGCCAAACTAAAGTGTAACTAGAATGTTATTTTCTCTGTCTCACTTTATCTTCTTTTGAAATTTCGACTGATTCCATAGTAATATTAAAAACTAACAATAATATCTTACCAACGTTGTTCGTAATCGACGGAATTGGCGGTTGCAACGATTTTTCACTTATTGGTGCAGTTCTAAAAACAATATTCGATGTAAATTTTATCAAAGAATTCACTATCACCAAGTTCACTTACTTAATTATATTTGTACTATTTTGTATTTCTAATTCAGTTGCTGGTCTAACATAACTTCTTGGAAACCAACCGATCTGAATAAAACAATATTCCGTTTACTACATACGTTTTAAGAAAAAAATCGTTTTACCTTTCCACGAAGTTGTCCACTATACCAAGAAGCATCTTTCTGTTCACGTACATGAATAAGTTCACCTTTTTGAAATGACAAATGTTTATCGGCTGTTTTGCCTTGGCAATCTGCCAATGCCATTGCCATCGATCCAGACTAAAAAGAAACGAAATGAATTCGATATAAAAATAGATCATCTTGAACATACCACTAATGGCGAAGTTGTATCAACAGAATTTCCATTCGTAGACGAAGACGTTGATCTACAGAACAGAAAAACAATTTGAATAATGATTAATATTATTCTTTTCTTCACTACTTACGCAAAACGTTCAGCATAAGCAGCTGGAAAAAATCCTTGTTTACCATTTCCAATTTTTCCGTATAACCAGTTTTCATCTTGTTGTTTTTGTGTTGGATCAATCTTAAAAGAAAACGATATTAATATAATCTCCATGAGATCGAATATGGTGTAGGCGCTGTCATAAATCACGAAGTGAAACTTCTACAAATTAACTTACTGTTATGATATCTCCGGCTGACATAGCTATTTCATCTTCACGTTGAGGTACATAATCGTATAAAGCTCGATATTGAGTATTTCCTAAATATAAAAGCAAAATTCAGAATTTTCTATTTCGGAAAATAATTCTTCTCACCAGATGAAGAATTTCCATTTGGAACTGTTGAAAATGCTTGTGGCCATTCATCTTTTGCAGTGAATGGAGAAGTAACCTTATTATTCGTTTGTAGTTCTCCCCATGGACCAGGTGCTGGTGTTTGTTTAACACTTGGTTTAGGAGCGAGTTTTTTATTTTTCGGAAAAACATCGTTTTTAGGAACAAACGGATCATTTTTTGCAGTTCCATTATTTGCTGGTCGAAACCAATCATCATCAGCTATTGTTGTTGAAGTGCCTATATCAGATTCAGAAGCAAATGGATCAACTGTTCGAAATGGATCGTTATCAATAGCAGATGAAGGAGCTACAGGAAACGAATGAGCTGGAACATTGAAATCATTGTTAGCACGAGATTGATCATAATTGGCTGAGAAATTTACAAGCAGAAGACATCAGAGCATAGAAATTACAGAGAAATACTTACGAAGTATTGTGGGTGGTATTATTTTACTGAACAAATCAAATCATTATCGAGCAATTCAAAAGAGCAATTGTTTTTTACCTTATTGGTTTCTTAGTTTTAGCATCCTGTTCAAGTTGAGTAAGTTGACGATGCAGTTGCTATAAAAAATTGTTTTTCAAATTTTGAAATCTCAAGAGAAAAACTACAAAACAAACCTCCATTTGATGTTGATATTGTTTACATTGATGATTCATAGTTGTGATTTGTTCATCGACACGTGTACTCTCTTGTTTCACATTGTCTAGTTGAAGCTGTAGAAATCTCAGTTGATCCGATTCTCGACTATCCATATCTGAATATCAGAGTACAACAAAATAATCGATCGAATACTTTTCGTTCGTTAAGTCGTCACTACTAGTCTCCTTACTGAATTCTTTCGATTGACTAAGATGTTTTAAAGATGAATTAATTGATTCTCTTTCGGATTGTAAGCGCTGTAACTTTAATTTCAAATCTTTTCGTTGTTGTTCAAAATTTTCTAACAGATTTTTTTCTTGTATTGTACGTTTCTGAATATCACCAATTGATTGATCAATTGTTTGTATATTTGTATTTGTTTCATTAATTTTTCTTTGCTTAGTTTGTATTGTATCGTCCATACTTTGCACTTCAAGTCCGAGACCTTTTTCACGAGATTTTAAATCATTGATTTGTTCGAGTAACCGAGATTTTTGACTCGATAATTCTTGCATACGTTGACGTTCCCAGTCAAGACGACTTTTACGTTCTAATTCTTTTCGTGCAGCCTGAAATCAAAGGAAATGTGTGATGTCTGGACACAGAAAAGTGATGGTATTTACCTCTCGTTGTTCAAACATTTTTCTTCGTTCTTCTTCTTTTTGTTGTTCGATTTGTCTTTGTCTTTCTAATTGTCGTTCAAAGTCCAGTTGTTTTTTACGTTCTTGATCGTCCTTTTGTTTTTGTAATTCTAATTCGCGTTTCCGTTCTATGATAAAAAGATTTATTATTCATAAATCGAAGAAAAACCTAATATTTATTTAGTTACCTCGTTCTTCACGTTCCCGATGTTCACGTTCTTCCTGTTCACGTAATAATTGTCGACGACGTTCTAATTCTTTATATCCATCCTAAGAGCAAAACAAAAATATTTTTCTTTATAAATTTACAGAACACAAACCTCATAGTTCTTCAAACGTTTTTCTTCATAAGTCACGATGCTATTTCTTCGTTCCGTCTCAACGGTTTCAGGAGAATGACTTTCGCTTGTATTTGTAAATTTAAATGTATCTTTCAATTCTTGATTAATATTAGCAAATGCTTGCTGAACATATGGTTTCACTAATGTACCGGTTCGTTCAAGTTGTGCTGTATTTGCTGGCAGCCATTCGTCAGGTAAACGAGACGGTAAAATTTGACCAGCACGTACAACATCACAACAATGCATTGCAACGACAAATTCATCAGCTGTTAAACGACCATCTTTATCATGATCGGCTAAATTCCTACGGAAAAAAATAGATTGACATTTTGAATGAACACTGATAATATCTTTTTATTTGCAGTATTGGTGGAAAGTTAAAAATCATGATTTTGACAGCATCGTGATGTTTGTCTTTTATTAGTGTGTAAAATTTCTCTACGTCAGAATAATTATGGTTAGCTGAAAATATGATGCATTCCTTTTTCTGTTCTATTGTTGACTTAGCAAGCTGATGCTTTTTCTAGTTGTATTATTTATTCGTATAAGTGTTCGTCTTCTTCGGCCTGGATCAATTTTAGAGTATAAATATATAATGCTTCAGAAAAAAGACGTGATTTCCAAGTTAAGAGTTTTGCGATAATAGAGTGAAAAGAAAATAATTATTGAAAGTTCGATTGTATTGCTGGAATAGTATCAAATGTCCCGTGGTAAATCTCGCCATGTGATACGTAATCTTAGCCCTAGGAGGGAAGCATACGGGTAAAAAAAAGCAATCATTAACAATATGTTTTTGGCATTTTGCATCAAACAATTTAGCAGAGCATAAAAAAGTTGATGACAATAAACTCAAATACCAGAATTTTTAGATTTTATCAATCCTTCCAATCTCATTTCTGATACGATAAGATTCATAGTTCTTGATTCCGTCGATAAAAATAGATTTTTTTCTTTATCAGATCGGCTGTCGTTAAATAACATATTCTGTTTGCTGTATTTTGCCTTTTCTCATCTATGACCTTTTATTAGATCATTTATTTCAACAGATCTAATTGTTTGTTTACTTTGACCAATCGTTTAAATTTCTCCTTATTTTCATCTGTCATTAATAAGTCCTATGTCTATAGAACTTTCTTTTTTTTATCCAGTCATACAAAATGATTGATCGATATGTTAATATCAGCAAATATTTCTAAGAAAATATAAATTATCATGAATACGCTTTCTCTATTTGATTTACCATATTTGATGAAGTAGTGTTTGTGATAAACCACTTTGCTGAAGAATATTTCGTGCTTGTAAACCAGTCATAAATCCATTGGTTTTGGTAACATCAACTAACGAATGAAATTTTTGAAGATATTTTGAACGAACGGCTGCTGTTAATGGTGCAGGAGGAACAACAACTGTTTTTATAGGTGGACTAACAAACGAAACGATATTAACAAATAAAATTCAATCGATCAATTTCTTCTTACCCAGAAACTAACGGCGTAATTGAAGCTAAAAAATAGAAATTAGTTAGTTGTTATATAAACACAATGAAGTATAGCAGTTATAGGTTAACAAAAAGCATTATTCTCTAGATGCACTACACAATGGTGATCAATCTTACCACTCCAATTATTGAATGCTCCTTTAATATCAAAGGTTTTATTGTGATATTTTACTCTAGTGTATTCGATATTCAAAAACAACTTACCAGTTATTGGCAATGGGAATGCAGGCATGGGATTTGACATGCCATTCGCTGTTATTGCAATGGCGTCAGAGAGTAGAGTTGGTGGAAGTGCTTGTGGTAGTGGTACTTTTTTTTGAACCTTCAATAATAAAAATTGAATAGAAAAATAAAATTTTTGATTATCTGTTTACTTGAGATGAAATCAGATGACAAGCAATAGTAAATTCTCGTTTATCTAAACGACCATCGGCTGTTATATCCGAGAGATCCCTGAATTTAAAAAGAGAAGTTTACGATAATTATTTTGTTTTTTTATCAAATAAAGTTACCATATTTTTCGAAGAATATCTCCCGGTAAGTTAGATTTAATAAAAAAACTTCGTGCTTGATCTCCTGATACAAAGCCTTGCATTGGACTACATTGTTGAAAGTACGAATCGTACTTAGCTCGATCATCGGCACTGATTCTCCAATCACCTAAATTTACATTTATTTACCGTTTATTGATATTTACAATGAATATCTTGTTATTTTCATTCATACCGGCCATATGTAAAATGTTTGCGTTATCTCATCATAAAAAGCAATTCAAATAAGACAAGATGAATATTCTTATGTAAAAATCTATAACAATTGTATATGATCAATGTCTATCGGGTTGGAGATCAAATTTCTTGAGAAGAACAAAACGAAAAAGAAAAAGAAAAGAAAAAATAAACAACAATTGTTCACCTTGCAGCGAAAAAAGGCATGCACATATACTTTTTCTATGTTGTATTACCTACTACAGAATGGATAGAAGAACAGGAATGAGAGAGAGAGAGAGAGACGATCGGATCAACTAACCATTGGTATGTCGGAGGTAAGTGTAGTGTTAAAACAATATGGCTTTGATGGTAGATGTCACTCGATAGCATAGGAAAAAAATTATTTTCAAATTTCGTCGAGAAAAAAAGATAGAGGCATGCCAATATTCGTTAAAATTTGTTGAATCTACTCTACTAAACCAAAACAGAATGAATAGTGAAAATACAATCAAGAATATATTGGCATAGAATTTACTTTTCAACTTGAAATAAAAGCGCATGATCATATCATAACAATGTCTGTAGTTAATTATTTCTTTTCGTGATGAAAAACAAACATACGAATTTTGATTAAAATTCCTAATGAATATGTTATTGGCATGGCGTTCTTTTTGTATGGTAATGGTGTGTTCAGAATTCAAAAGTTTATTTAAATACATGTCTATTCACACATTATATTGTTCTCATTGTGACAAAAGAAAAAAAAGAAAGGGATGACAATGACTAAAACTAACAAAAACAAAATGACTGAGATTATTGAAATTTGACTATAAATAAAGAAATACATAGACTATTCATTTTTTTATTATACATCGCCTTCGACTAGAGTAGAAAGAGAAGATTGTTTGCCGGTTGTCATTGAAAATCGATGATGACTATTTATTGCTATTAATGGTCCGTAACCATTGCTTCCTTTATCTGATGATGATGACACAGGCGGTGGCGGAGGAGGTGGAAAATGTGTACTTCGACGTCGAATTGAATCGTAATTTTCCGATAGATCAATAGGATCTGACATTTGGCGTTTTATTTCAGATGTAACTGGTTCACCGCCGAGTTCACGCTTTCGTTTATGTTTTAATTGTTTAGGATCTTTTGTATAGAATGTTTGCCATAAATGATTAATAACCTATGAGAAAAGTATAATCAAATATCTCTCCAATGAACCAAATGTGAATTTACTTCAGTACAAACAAAATCGCTTGTATTTGATGAGAGTAAACGAAGCATAAATATTCCATCGGGTTCAAGATAACCAAAAATAAATTCTCGATACCAATCTTTGACATATTCCGGTGGTTGAGAATTGAAATCAGTATCGCGCTTCATTAATTGTAAACGACGCTTGATATAATTGTATTGTTTATCAGGAAAAAATCGTGTTACCCAAACAACAACATCAAATATAGACTAAATGGGGGAAGAAAATCAATATAAATACGAAATAGAACAAGGTAAGATAAATACGTACGACTATAAAAACCATCATATACCAAAACCAAATAAAAGTAAAAATCTAAATTAATAATGATTAAATGCATTTAGGACAATGAAGATTAGTTTATTTACCTGTTGCGAGAATAAATTAAGAGGAAGAACACATTGTACTGTATAACGATGGGAATCGCGTGGATGGAGTGCTTCGCGAATTTGAAAATCGCATAATGTCACTTTAGGAAAATATCGTGATTGTGTGTCCCAACCTATTGGATAAAAAATATTAATTTTCTCTATAAAAAGTCTTTTTGTTTTTGTTTACCTCGGCCTTCAAGAATACGTTTAAGCACTTGTATTCCAAATAAATGAAATTCTTGTCCCAAAAATAAATTCAATAAAAATATTTGACAAACAGCATTGGTGATGAAAAGTGCTTTCGTTGTAAAATAAACAATGATTAAATAGTTGCCCAAATATTTTCCCATAAATATGCATACTGTCATAAAAATACGTTTAATACTGATGCGATCGCCACGTTCGTCAGCTTGTCGCCTAGGATCATCTACATATTTATCGATAGCTTCAACAATATATTCCATTAATTCTGCTTTATGCTTATCGTCTTTTGTTGCTGTATCAACTGATTTATAATTAATGGCTGCATCAACTATATCGCGTACATCGATACCACTACGTCGTGACAATGATCGCCAAACAATATGTGGAAAATAGAAGCAAAAGGCTTGAAGAAGTAATATAAATGGTATCCATTGGTAGTAACGCAGTTCATTTTGACGTCGTTCTCGTTCAATTTTTGGTACTTTTTGTTCAAGAGGAATATAATACGTATTCGATACCCAACATATATCATTAACATATTCCTACGAAAAAAAAAGTTTATCTTTTGTAAAGCAATTTCATCCAAGTCAGAATATATACTGATTACTATTTCTATGAGAAATAGACGGAACTACCGGAAATCGCTAGCTGTGTTTAAAAGATCTAATGTGATTATTATCTATTGAAGATTATAGATAATCGAATAAGTCAATTTTCATTCTCTGTTAGTGGATTAATGTAATTTTAAAGAGCAAATTGTCTATGTATTACCTACGGATGAACTTCAATGAAACTCTAAAATAAAAGTATGATTCAAGAAATTGAATCAGTGAAGAAAACCGCATTCCAAACTCTTCATTCATTATAGAATGACTTCTTACTTACCTCATAATTTTTCGTAAACTGTGCCGGTACCCAACCTATAAGAAATAGAAAAATGTCATCATTTGAATTTCTATACAAATGATGGTAGACTCACATTGTATATGTTTTGTTCCAAATTGCTTATTTGTTACAATGATTGCGAATAGAACCAACATTAAAACCGTATATTTATACGAAAGACGATCAGCAAAACTATCATCGCAACGTGATGCTCCAAAGACAAGCGATGGTAAACGCGTTACTATGCCAATGATATCCATTATATTAGATCTGAAAAAGATCACACATTATGTTGTAATGAACACAACAAAACAGTATAACAAAAACAAAAGTCAACGAAAGAAATTTTTTTAATCATCAGCCATTGCTTCGGGTGAATCATCTTCTTCTTCTTCTTCTTCTGCCTTCTTCTTTTCTTTTTCTATTGTTTCAGATTCTAAAAAAATCAGAGGGACATTTTTTGAAAATTTATAATTAGAAGAATTCAAACCTTTTTTATTGCCTTGTTTTGTTGAATATTTTTTTAATTTAGCAACGAAGAAACCATCGAGATTGTGTAAATGTGGATAATACCGACGACAATATTTCATAAATGGATGAAATGATGTACCTTTGAAGCTACAATAAATGTTCAAAAAAATTAATAAATAGACCTTCGTTGTTTTCAATGTACTTTGTAAATCCTTCTACGCCAAATTCTAAGCCTGTTTCAACAATTTTCACTGGTCGATTATTTAATGCATATTGTACGACTGCTTCATTTTCTTCAACCTAAACGAAAAATAAAAATTATGTCCTGTTCTCAATCCAATTCTAATCTTACTAAGATTGAACAAGTTGAATAGACAATATAACCGCCGGTTGTTGAATTTTCATTAATGGAATCGATCGCATTTAATAGAATTTGCCGTTGTGCAGTAAAACATCGTTGAATATCTTTTTCATCCTAAATGTAAACAAAATTTTCTTCAAAGTTTCTTTCTATTTCGGTAGTAATTTACTTTTGAACTTTTAACGGCTTGATCTTTTGCTATAACACCCGCACCGCTGCATGGTGCATCAACAAGACATCGATCAAAACCACCCATATGCTAGACAAAGTAAACATTTTGCAATTATCGACATGTAAGTATAAAAATCTCTATAATTAGCTTCACGTATTTTTTATGTTGAACTAGTTCTAATTTCATACGGAAATCCGCTCCAGTAGAAAAAATACCTCAGAAAAATGTCTTCCATCAAGATTTGTAACAATTGTATTGGTTAAACCTAATCGATGTGTATTAGCAATAATAGCTCTTGCGCGATCTTTATTAGCATCATTAGCTACTAATATACCACTATTTCTCATTAATGCACCTAAATAAAAATATTTTAAATTGCTTTTCTATGAAAACTGCAAATCTATTTACCGATATAAGTTGCTTTTCCACCAGGAGCTGCACACATATCCAACACGCGTTCATTCGGTTGAGGTGCTAATGCCATACAAGGTAGAAAACTGGATGCACCTTGGAGCATGTAATGACCACATAGATATTCTGGTGTTGCCCCAATTGGTACTTGACTGTTATAAATAACAAGACCAACTTTAGTCCATTTATCGAGTGGATCAACGTTTACACCACGGTTGATCAGTGCTTGAGCTAGATCACGACGACGTGTTTTTAATGTATTCGTTCGAATTGTTACCGGTCGTTGAACTTCATTAGCTTCCAAGAAGTCGATAACCTATTAATTAATGAATGATTTTCAATTAAATATGTCGGATGAGCAATCTTTTACCTCAGCAAGTGGAAATAAATCAAGAATTTTATTCATTAAAAATTCATTATATGAATAATAATTACATAGATCTTGTCTAAGTAAATCAAGATATTCTTTTCTTGATCGATTTGCTTCACGTTTATTTTTAAAATCATTCAAAACATTAATGACTTCACGAATACGATGCATTAGCAATTGTAAATCAGCTTGTGGAGCTTAAAATGGAATTTTTTTTGTATACGAAACTATTATTCCTAATTTTTTTTGTCATCTCACCTTCTTTTGTAACTTCTTGTCCACTTGGAAATTGAACTTTTTCGTGTTGTTGAATATTTGTTAATAATTCTTGTTCGGACCGTTCTTTTGCTTGACGTTGTTTTTCACGTATTTTTTTCGATTGTTTTTCAATATCAAGCTATATGAATTGAAAAAATTGTTTCGGAAAACAAATGAAATTTCCGTAACTTACTTTAGGTTCATCATTGTCGTTGTCTTCTTCTTCACTGCTACTTTCCATTTCATTGAATTGATCATCATATGGAACATCTTCATCCATGGATTCTTCTTCATTTTGCTCATCATCATCATCAAATAATTCCTAATATAAAAATATGCTACACTATTTAATCATGTCCAAGTCATATATGAGAAAATTCGAAAAGTGATCGCCAATTTTACAATACCTTTTTCTTTTTCGGCTTAAGCCATTGTTGATTTTCATCGGTATATCCATTTATCTGTTCTTCGTCATTTGATTCACCGTCAGATTGGCGTTTTGTTGCTGTTTTAAGCTCTTTAGTAGAAAACAAATGTAAGATTAAATTATAGTAAAAAATTTTCAAACTCACTTGTATTTTTATTTATTGTCTGTTTCAATTTATCTTTTTCAAGACGCTTGCGTGCACTATAAAAAAACACCAATCAACATTTATTTTGAAAAAAACTGAAATTAAACCGTTGTTTGCCACGACTTGATACTTTTCTTTTGTCGGTCGGTTCTAAAAATATAGAATATTTTATTTATGATAAAAAAAGCAAGCAAGCAATGAATATTTCTTACCGGTTTGAGCTAATTCTTTTGGAAAAGTTGGTTCACCTTGCTTTTTCGATTTACGACCTGGACCACGAATAGGTTTAGCTGATTTGTCGTCGGTTACTTTTCGTCGTCCCATGATGAATCTAAAACTTGTTCTAATAGAAAACAAAATCAAGTTTTAGCCGATTAATATAGATTTCGTAAACAAATAATCACATATAACAAACTATAGTATCTTATAATGATTTGTCAAACGAATGCAACCAATCAAAATAGTACGATGTCGCTAGTGATCTATAAACAATAGAAAAAAAGAATAGTAAGACGGAGGATTCATTTAAAGTTCTGTTCAATGTAATACTATAAGATTTTTTTTCGTTTTTTCTAATAATTTTTTTCTTTGTAGAATTTTAGTATTCTCATACCCAGGTGAATGAGTAAGCATATGGTGTCTAGAGAACACTTAGGTCGAATGCTTATGTTGGATTCCGATAGGATCCTACTATCGGATTCATTCTCCTGGGAAGACATCAATAATATTCAATTTGTTTAAAGTGTGCATTTATATAGTAACTACAACAACTTATTTCTGTTGGAATTTTTCAAGAAGTATCTAAGGTATTTTTAGATATGTATATACCATACAGTTTGTCACAGCGTAGAATTCCATGATCTGAAAGTAAGTTGATATATGGAAACACAAATCCGAGCAAAACACAATCCATTGGACGCGATCTTCTATTGCTTCATCTACTACTAATCATATGATGTTTTCTGATATTTCTTTGTTAGGACTGAGTCGACTAATATACGTTGTATTGAAATTTTACATTAATACTGTTGAAACATGTGCGTTTTAAAAATTCAATAACTTCAAACCTTTCTTTGAGCCACTATGAGCTTTCCTCAACTAATCGTTTAACGTGTTATTAAATTTATATCTCTGGGTTATGTCATTTTTGAACCCATATGGTTGAACTGTGAAGTAAACAGACTGCATGTGATGCCTAAATCGTTCGAAATTTGACCTGGATTTTTTAAAATTTATAGTTAAACTTCGGCCTCTATTAGAGAAAGCACGTTTCACAGATGGTAAAAGTATTTTACAATATTTGATATGTCAGGTTTATTTTATATTAGCTACATGGGAAAATAATGTTATTAACTATGAATTTGTCTCGAAGTTCATTGCTATCTAACAAAAAGCTATTTTTCTGAAACAAAATGAACAACAGCTTAGACAGTAAACGCGAAGTCTGCTGAAGTCTTTTCAACGTTCCTTTCAGTCTCATGAAAATTCTTGAGAATTTGAACTGTTGGTTGTTCAAGTCCGTTGTTTTCCCGCTAATTCAAATGTGTCAGTGTAAATACTACAGTCGTAAGTAGTTTATATTTTTTCAATTTTCAGTTTGTTAGCATATATGAAAATATATTTTAGCTAAGAAAATTTCAAAGGTCGCCTTCTGTCGTGTTCCATCATGTTCGATAAATTATAACTAACGCGGTACTTAAGGAAGCCAGAAGAATTTGAGACTTTAAAAAGAAACTTTGGGAGTTTAAGATTCTGGTTATCCCAGGTGAATGAATCCAACAACGGATCTTATCGAATCCTATGTGATCCGACTCCCCGACAGAATCCGATAGTATTCCAGGACACTGACCTATTGTTGGTTCCGACAGAAAAAATCATTTTCTTCTTCGCCGAGGGCGAAAAATCATCGTCTCTGATTTCTTACATTAAGTCGTATCAGAAGATTTTTAAAGAAAATATAGTATGATCTGATGCAAGATCTTACGTCAGATTTTTCGACCTGGGCACGATTAAATAAGCATTTTGTGCCATCATAGCGCAACGGTGATTCGTTAGAGTTGGATTCCGTTTAAATCCAACATCGAATCCTATTGGATCCAGTACCAAGGATCCGACTGTAGGTCCGTGTCCAGGAATCCCATAAGATTTCGTCGGTTTTATTGAAATACATATGGTATTCGATATATTCACTGACTGACCCTTGTCAGAGTCCCATAGGATCCTACTATCGGAATGATTCTCCTGGGATAGTCTTAATCGCTCTCCTATAAGATTTCCAAATAAAATTTCTGAAAACCAGCCATGGTTCAAGGTAAATATAGTAACTAAAGTATCGGATTTCCTTTTGATAAATTTACTAATTAAAACAGCTTCTATTACATTCGACGTAGCAGTCATTGAAGAGGTTCTTCTCACATGGAAGGGGTGTTAGTGTGCGCTATCATAATCTAATTTTTAACTAATCAAGTTGCAATAACAGAGCAGGTTGCATATTTCATCGCTCTTGGTTGATCTTTGCCGACTATTGTCACCCCTAAACATTATACGTAAAGCGCTGCATCAACACCTAGTATAAAACTGATGAATGAGTGCCTGGCTAACTCAGACTCAATCATATCGTCGCATGAATACACATATCAATCTTT